CGGAGAGGAAGAGAGAGGGGACACAGAGACAGAGGGAAGAGTGAGAGATAGGGAGAAGGGCACACAGACAGAGAGGAAGTCAGAGATGGAAGAGAGAGACCAAACAGAAAGAGACAGAAAGAGAGAGTGAGAAGGGAGATAGAGATTGGAGAAGAAGAAAAGGGAGACAGAGGGGGAGACGGGGGTGGGGGGGGACGAAGGGGAAAGAGAGGGACAGAACGGAGCTAGACAGCGAGAGGAACGGGAGACGGTTCGGGTGAGCGCCAGAGCAGAGAGCCGGGAGAAGCGCGAGAGAGCCGGAGCGGAGGCTCGCCGCCCGTGTGCCCGTGTGCCCGGGTGCCCGTGTGCCCGTGGCGGTGGTGCGGGTCGCTGCTCCCCGAGGTGCGCAGGAGGAGCCCGAGCAGGAGCCCGAGCCCGAGCCCGAGCCGGAGCCCGAGCCGGGGGAGGCGGCGGCGGCGGCGGCGGGCTGCTCGCCCAGTTGCCCCCGCCTGCTCTCTCTCGGCTCTGCGCGAGGCCGCTCGCTGCCCGCAGCTCCGGAGCTCCGCTCCTGCCCGCAGTGGCGGCCCTTGTGCCAGCGGCGGCGGCGACCCCGGTGCCAGCGGCGGAGGCGGCCCGGGTGCCAGCGGCGGCGGCCCCGGTGCCAGCGGCGGCGGCCCCGGTGCCAGCGGCGGCGGCGGCGGTGGAGCTTGGCACCACTTGCCGACCCCCCGGCCCCCCGGCTTCGGAAACTTCCCCCCGGCTGCGGCGGCGGCGGCGGCGGCGGCGGAGCGCGGCTCTGCACTAATACACTAAGGTGAGCGCGCGCCGGACCGGCCCCTCCCTCCTCCTCCCCCTCCCCTTCGTCCCTCTCCGCAGAGGCGCCCCCTCCCCAACGGCCCCGGACCTCGGCGGTGGGACTGGGGGCAGTAGTGGCCAGCCGGGCGTCCCCCCAACCCCCGCACATCCCAGTACTGGGGGCGTTGGGGGCCCAGAGGAGAGCGGGCGGGGCTGGGAGGCGGCGGCGGCTGGGCTGCGGGAGGCATGGGGAGCTGCTTGCATAACCGCCACTCGCGGGAGCCTCATCCCCAACACCCACACCCAGACATATCCCAACACCCCCCCCAACGTACACACTATGCACACTCCGACATCACACATATGCATGCACCGCACACACACACCAACGCACACCCTCAGCACACACCCCTAAACACACCCCCCCAGCCCAACTGTCACACTCAAACACAAACCCAACACCACTACCCCCCAGCATCTTCCAGCACATCTCACCCCAACATACACACCGCCAACAAACGTACACACACACACACACACACACACACTCGTAGCCCAGGTACCCAACTCTCAAACCCACATACACTCCACTCTGCACCCCTCTGCTCACACCCCCAATCCTCCTAATGCAGAGCACCACCAGAACACAACCTTCTACCCCCCCACACCCCCACAATACACACATTCACCCTCACAGTCTTCCAAACAGCCTTCCAGCACTTACACCCCCAACACACGCCCCTCCAACATTAACGCATCCGCTCAGTACAGAGATGCACTCTCCCCAGCACCGCGCCCCCCCACAACACTCATAAGGTACCCTCCTCAGATACATCCATTGTTAAGGGTTAGGGAAGCAGCGGGCCTTTCCCATCTCTGGGCCTCAGCTTCCCCCTCTGAAGAAAATGAGAAAGGTGGATTGAATGATCTCCAAGGCCCCTTCTAGCTCTTACTGTCTATGTTCTGGTGCCACATCTCCACAAACTCACTGAGGGCCCTCGTGGAAGTCCCTTCCTCCCTCTGAGCCTCAGTTTCCCCATCTATAAAATGGAGAGGGGAAGGTTTCTTCCAGGTTCAACATTCTGGATCTGGATCTGCTAAGGTAGGGAGTAAGGTGCATTCAGGCAAGGAAGGCCCTTGGCCTCTTGACTCCCCAAGCCGGTCAGGTCCAGTGCACCAGACTCAGATGCACCTAGCAGGCAATTGCTTACATATTACTGGCTTATGAGAGGAAAGCCATGCTGGGGAACAAGGCGTGAGGGGTGTCTGGGGAAGTGCCTGGGGGGGAGATTGGCACTGAGGGAGGAGGGTAAAACATGCCTCAGGGTTTCTCTCTATCTCTCTTTGTCTCTCTCTGTCTCTTTGTCTCTGTCTCTCTCTGTCTCTTTGTCTCTGTCTCTCTCCCCTTCCCTTTCTGGCTTTGCGTCTGTCTGTCTCTCTCACACACATTTACACAGGACAAACCAAAGTTATCCATTATCAGGTGACTGAGATGAGGGGACTTTCACACTTGGGGGGGGAGCGGGAGGTGCTCGCCAGCACACAGCCCTGCTTGTGGGGAAATCTTCCCAGCCCTTGACTTCATGGAAGCCTCAGTCTTTGGCTGGCCACCTCTTCCTTCCTCACTCTCCAGTTCAACACCCCTTTCTACAGGTTGACTCCCTTCCTCTGTCCTTACCCATCCCCCACCCGCCCCCTGAAAATTACCCCAGTGTCCAAAGGAAATAGTTTCCAGGATGGAAGTTGGATGGCAGGGTGCCAGGAAACAGAGGCCCATACACACACACACACACACACACACACACACACACACACACACACACAC